GGGATGCTCTCCCCACCCCACACCCTGTTTCTTTCTGGCTTTCATGGTTTACTCCACCACCCTTTTTGCCACCAGACCAGTTTCTGGGGTGCGGGGGGGACGGCTGCGTGCCATTGCCGAACGCGGGGCGTAGCTACGGGTAACACTCCTGCTGGCTGTGAGGATTTTTTATTCCTGTGCTCCGTTTCCTACGGCCTTTCCTGCGTGCCCGCGATTCCTCCTCGGTATTTTTATGACTGTTGTCTCACTCCCCGCGTGCTGCACGAGTCGGACCTGGAGCAAAGGTGCAGGACAGCGTCCGGCCCCGAGCAGCTGCTCTCTGTGCCCACGGGGACTTTTTCAATGTCGTGTGTTTAAATTGCAAAAAAAAAAACAAATAGCAAAACCTCTGCGGTGCTGTGAGTGATGCCCTCTCTGCTCTCAGGTCTGAGAAGACAAGCCGCTGTCGCCATCAGCCAGGAGCTGAGCAAACTCTCTTGCCACAGCACCGGCCCCAGCACGTGGATTAACCAGGTCCGCAGGAGAAGCTCCTTGCTCAGTAAGTGACCGGTGGACGGGGGGGTCTGGCCCTTCCTGCCGGGCGGTGACCGTCACGGGTCAGGGCTCGGGAGAGGGTTTGGAGGAGAACTTGCTCGTGGGTCACCTGTGCTTTCACTAAACCAGTGGCACAGGCGGGCAAGCAGTGGGAATGGAGTTTACTTCCTCAGCCCCTGGGCATGGAGAAGTGTATATGGTGTAGAAAAAGATGTGTTAGTCAACTGTGCGGTGTTCTTACCCCTCGCTCCCGCTTTTGTCCGATCCCGTGCAGGCTCGAGGCTGGAGGAGAAGCCCTTCAGCGAGATAGAAATGTCCTACATCAAGCAAGGAGAGGAAGCCCTCCAGAAATCGCTCAGCATCCTCGGGGACCAGGACGGCTGGAAGACAGAGACAGTGGTGGTAGGTGCTCTGCTGTGCAGCAGAATGACACGGTGCTCCTGTGAGTATTTGTGATACTAATTCTGCCTTCCCCTCTCCAGGCCAATGGAGACAAAGTGCTGAGCAAGGTGCTCCCGGACGTGGGGAAGGTGTTCCGACTCGAGGTGGTGGTGGACCAGCCCCTGGACGCGGTGTACGGAGAGCTGGTGGACAACATGGAGCAGATGGGAGACTGGAATCCCAGCGTCGAAGAAGTCAAGGTAGGAACCGTGCGTCAGACCCGTCTCAGCCGGGGGCTCACGCGCTGCTCCGAGCGCCGTCAGAAGGGCCAAAGAGTCGCTTTGGCCATCGCAGCAGGGACGTGGTCCTTTTCCCACCCATTCTTTGGGAACGGAGAAGCCAGACTTTATCTTGTGCACTTCCTACTGCAGATGCAGAGGGTGCAATCGCAGCGCTCGGCAGCAGAAGTGAGTCTGCAACAGCTCGTCTGGGACGGGGGGTGTGTTGCACGTTCCGTAGGGAACGTGCTTCGAGGCAGGGGGCCAGTCCTCCTAAATCTGTGCTGTTACTGGAGGAGAAATAGAACAGTACCCCAATGTGCAGGGAAGAGCACTTTGCTATTCCACAGCTTGTCTGGAATAAGAGAAACACTTTCCCTTTTGAGGTATTGAAAACTGAAGTTCTCTATTCTGGGATGAAGCACGTATTTGCAATTTTTCTCACTATAAGCAGAGATTTTTCTAAGAGCATGTATTTGAACCCTTTAGCGATGTTGGCAGTAAATATCTCAAAATAACATTTGAATTCTAAACTGTCCAGATTCTCCAGAAGATTGGAAAGGACACAGTGATCACCCACGAGAAAGCAGCCGCTACCCCCGGTAACATTGTCGGACCACGGGACTTTGTGAGCGTCCGGTGCTCCAAGAGACGTGGCTCCACCTGTGTCCTGGCCGGCATGGCCACGAAATACGGAGCCATGCCCGAGCAGGAAGGATTTATCAGGTGATCACCTTTGCATTGGCTTTCAGGGGTGTTTCTGAGGCAGAGTCACACGCCAGCTGTCAGTGTCTGCTCAGAGTGATTAGGTTCTCAAAGTGCTTCAGCACTGCTGTGGTTTTTGGGGTGCAAGTCCAACACGTGCCCTCCTGTCCTCGCACAGGGCTGAGAACGGTCCCACGTGCATGATCCTGCGCCCGCTGCCCGGCAGCCCGGCACAAACCAAGCTCACGTGGCTGCTCAGCATCGACCTGAAGGTGAGTTTTGCAGCAAAAATGTCGAAGTAGGGGCAGGAGTTGCGTGGGAGGCGCGTTCCCCTCACGGACTGTCTCTGCTCCTCCCCAGGGCTGGCTGCCGAAGACCATCATCAACCAGGTCCTGTCCCAGACACAGGTCGACTTTGCCAACCACCTCCGGGCACGCCTGGCACAGACAGTGGCTGGGAACTGCTGAGCACACAGGGGTGAAATGGGGAATTGTGCAAGTCAGACACAATTACAGCCAGCTAATTAGCTAAGGCTTTTAATAACAGACACCACTAATTAATACATCATTTAAATAAATAAAAGCTTATTTATTTATTTATTGAAACTCATTAGGTTGCAAGAGCCTGACTGCACCAGCACACACTGGTTGTGCATTTGCACAACCAAAAAACTTAAGTCCTGCCTTTGCTCCACTGAGTGTGTGCTGGCCCAGTCAGGTCCCTACAACCTCCCTAACTAATGAGCTTCAATAAAGAAAGCTTTAATTAGTGATGTCTAGTATTAAAGGCCTTGACTAATTAGCTATTAGGGAGGTCTAATTAGTTATTAGGGAGGTCTCAAGACACCTGACTGGAAAGGCAGGAGGACCAGCCCCTGCTCAGTGGAACAAACCCAGGACTTAAGCTCAAATTCTACTCCCCTCCTTCCCCCACAACACACACAGAGCATTTCTTACTTACCTAAAAATTGTATTCCCTTCTCCCTGCAGTGGAGCAGCTCTAATTTATTTTTCCTGTACAGACACACACAGTGTGCCAAATTATTTATTCATTCAAAGCTCTGCAGTGATCATCATTGGCAGGAGGCCCTGTGTAACCTGTCAATGCAGCTTCAGAGATCACTGAAGCCAAAGTAGCTACTTTGAGTTTAAATGTAATTCATAACAAGTCACAAGACAAAAAAAAAAAAAAACACACTAAAGTAAGAGTTAAAGCTTTTATTTTTGAACTGGTTTCCAGTTTGTGGGAAAAAAATTAAATGTAATTCATAACAAGTCACAAGACAAAGAAAAAAAAAACACAATAAAGTAAGAGTTAAAGCTTTTATTTTTTAACTGGTTTCCAGTTTGTGGGAAAAAAAAATACAGTTTGGGCAGAAGCCCAAATTTCAGCCTTACATGCAGTAGTCTTGTTACAACACAATCCTCTGGCTGGCAGCTGCTGTTCACAGTTGGCCAAACGCAGCTCAGCAGAAGCGTCACCGTTGCTTCTGCCGGGTGTACTCACAGCAGGTTGGTCCAACCAGAGCCTGCTCTGAGGGAGCAAACGCCTGTTACAGCCCGGGTACAACTCAGGGGACGTTACCTCGCCCCAACGCTCGCTCCTTCAGCTACCTACATGGTAAGAGTTACTGAAGAGTCCAAGAGATGCCCACAAACAGCACAACACACGCTAGAACTGCGTTCACTCAGACTCCAGCAGAGTGGCAGGGCGTCAGTCTTCAGCAGGCAACAGATACACACGACACCTGCCATCAAGGGCTGCAGCTTGTTTGCTCGTTGGCTGATCGTTCCGAGTGATGCATGTTTCTCTAGAATAAAAACCACTTGACTGGATACCCACTGTGTCTTTTTTTGTTAACGCGGCACCGCTGACGTCGTTTATGGCTCCCAGGGTGGGCTTCGTCTTCCATCAACTTCTGTCTCTACGTGATACAGTACATCTGCGAGCGTGTGCTCTACAACAGCACCCCAGCCCATGTCACTCATCTGCAAGGGCAACGACAGACAGCTCGAGTCATGACCTACAGGCTCAGGGCAAAGGGTGACCAGCCCTGGTGTACAGCAACATTCCAGGACTGTTTCCCTCCTGAAAACATTAGTGGTGGGGGAGGAAAAAATTCCAAGTTTCCTTAAACAAGAATTGAGCCTATTGAGGCTAACATAGGCAAGAGCAGGGACTTGATATCTGCCAAGAGGAACAAGACATCTTAGCTATAACTAAATAGCAGATGCTATTTGTGAGGCTCTCTGTCCTTAAATACTTTAAAATACAATCCTTTTGCTACTCCATCTAAAGTACAGAGACTGAAAAGGACAGAGACAGGCTTGGTATAAATCAACTCCACCACAACAAAATCTCAACCACCTTTTGTTTCAATACTGTGAGACTGTCACAGCGTGGGGGCTAACAAGCTTCACTTATTACTTACCGGACGGTAAGTGATATCTCTAGGAGGATACTTGAAATAGGGCCCAAAGTTTATAGAAACCTGTGGAAGACAAACTTGTCATTAGATACAAAAAAAAAAAAACAGGCAAATTGCTTTAGTCTTCTGTCCTCATCCCCTCCTACTCCTGAGCCTACCTGCACCCTGCACGAGCTCACATGAACAAACAGCCTTGGCATGAAAGGAGAGCATTTATTCAGTGCTTTGATAAAGTTCCATCACACAAATAAGCAGCAGCATTGTTCTGGAGTCACTTCACTAAAATAATTCTCATCTTCCCTCTTCAGTTGCTAGACACGCTCCCAGAGTGCCCACACACTATGCACTGCTAAAACTACGATGGACTTTGAAAGATAATTCCCAAGATACGTTACTTACCGTGCAGCCTTTGTACAAAGAAATAGCAGGAAAATAAACTCCTTCAAAGATGTCTTTGAAGGCAATTCCTTGGCTCGCACCGTTCTTGAAGAATATTATCTGAAAAGAAAAAGAAGTTTTTTCCACTGATGCTGTTATGACCTTGCTTCTGAACTGCCAAGTGACCCTCCCGAGGCGGCTCACCCACGCTGCCCTTCACCTGAGGCCAGACACCTCCTCAAGGGACACAACACCACCAGCAGCAAAGGGCAGCTGGTTTGCTGAGTTCACGTTTCGCGTTGCTTTAATCAAAGCATTCTGGTTTTTGATGAAGAACTAATGATCAGGCTCCCTCTGTACTCATTAAATACAAGCAATTAATACCTACAACAAGCCAGTCTCAGCAGGCTCTGCGCTCTTGCTGAGGTTCTGCAGTCTCCACCTCCCAACACTACCTTACCTGGCTCCCGGGTGCCTGCTTCAGGCTCTTCTCTGCTTTGTCCACAAAGTCCTTCTCTTCAAAGTACAAGTAGCTTTTGAATTTGATCAAAGCCTGAAGTATTAGAAAACAACCACTTCAGAAGTAATCAGGAAAAAAACTGTTTTAGCTTTAGTGCCACATGAAAGAACAGCAGCCCTCCAGGAGCCCCGCTCTGGGATAGGTGTGCCTGTCGTGTCCGAGTACCTGCGAAGAGTGAGTCACACCCCTCAAATATTTGACAACCAGGAGGGGAAGAAAAAGATGAAACGAGATGTGGGCGATCTCACTCCGTAGTCCACGCAGAGGCCTCCCTTGCAGAACCTCTGGGTGGCTCTGGTCTCTCTGTTTTCTTGAGATCAACACTCTGGAGTCACAGTGGTACCCTGTCACGTTTAGCCTGGCTGGCAACTAAATGCCACACAGCCGCTCGCTCACCCTCCTCCACACCTGGGGAACAGGGAAGGCAACTAAAGGGAAAAAGGGAGGGAGGCCCGTGGGTTGAGATAAGAAGAATTTAATAACAATAAACAACTAAAAGTAATAATAATTTATACAAACGAGTGATGCACAGTATAACCCTCACCACCAAGTGACCAATGCCTGTCCTGGTAAACGATTCCGAAACAGGAAAGTTCTGACACCACAATCCTGGATGAGCGAGAGGCCCGAAAAGAGAACAAGAGGGAGACAGCACTCCGAGAGTGAGAGCCCCTGGGAGAGCCAAGGCCCTTCTTTCCAGTCAACGCTCATCTTTATACTGGGCATGACGCTGCATGATATGGAATACTCCATGGGCCAATCTGGCCCTCAATCCTAAGTCTAAGTTCAAATCCGAAGGGGACATGTGGCCCCTCTGTCCCGGCTACGCTCCCTCCCAGCCTGTCGTGCACCTGCACATTGGCAAACACACGGCAAGCTGAAGAGTCCTTGAGGTCTCAGCACCAACTATAAACACCACTGCACTATCAGCATTCTTCTCATGGTGAATCCCAGACTAAAACCAAAACACAGAGCTCTTCCAGCGGCTAAAGAGAACTAACTGTCCCAGCCAAAACCAGGACATACATACCCAGAGGCAGGATGGAAAGGATGCACGCTCCAAGGGCGCAAAAGCAAGGCTGGAGCAACCCGTTTTCCACTCATCCAACACTCAATCCAACAGTGAACTCCTCACCTTATCTTTGTAAGTGTCGGGCAGCGATTTGGCAGTCTCAGTATCTTCTGGAAGACTGATGTAAAATCCCAGTATATCGCCCTGTCCGTAGCCAGATGAATAGTGTTTCCCTATCGACTGGTGAAACTTGGTTCCCTTTTTGCTGCGCCAGGAGTAACTGAACTTGTCGTATCCCAGAGGCGCCTGGAGGTTCCCTGCGGAAGCCAACGTTGCTTTATGAACACACATGGTGTAGCAGGGGCACCTCTGTGTCCCACTTGGACTTTTGGAGCAGTCACTGCATTCAGCTAACAAACACGACTGTCGCCAGCACAAACGCGCTGACTCCAGCGTGGGGCACGCCCAAGCACGGCACAGCACAAAGGATGCCCCCGCAGCACCTCTGCATGGTTTACATCACCTGCAGAGAGAACTGCCCCTCGAGGAAAGCACTGAAGACGCGGACAAGCTGAACATCACTTACCCTCCTCAGGTCTAGATTACTGGGGAAAGAAGTACAGGAACCAGTTGGAATTCACTGCTAAGAAACACTTGGTAAAATCACCCACCTAAGGGCTGTGACCAGCCTAATCTGGCAGCTGTGTCTGGAGGCATCTCATCCATGGATATTTCGAAGTACCACGCTCCTTTCCGCACTCCGTGCGAGGCTCGCACCATGGAGTAGCCCTTCTCGCCGATAACAGTCAGCCTGTCGTCGGAAATCTTCAGCTGAGGCGCTGCGGCAGACGAGAGAAGATGACATGAGCGGTTCGCTAGGGGTTCCAACGTGCTGTGATGTCGAAAGGCAGGCGGGCACGCAGCAGTGGATGGAGCATCTCCACCTCCTAAAGCAACTGTGTCTGAAACTCCAGCAACCGCCAACGTGCGGCTACAGAAGGTGGCCCCTGGTGAGAGGTGTGTGACCCGCGCGCGGTTGGCACGCGTGGTACCTCGGTCGTGCAGCGCCAGGAGGACTCGCTCGTACAGGCAGGCTCTGTAGAGGTCCCCAGGAATGGGCTTCCCTGCCCAGCAGTCCAGCTCCAGCTTTTCCGGGTCAGGGGCGTGGGGGTCAGGCTCAGCCAAGATGTAACGATATCCATCTTTATTGAAGGGGTGCTCCAGAGGATAACCGTGGGGTGGCAGGCGCTGGGCAGAGAACAGCGGGTCACTGGGAAACACAAAAGCTGCAAGTTGGCATCTCACGGCGGCTACGGTTCCGTCACAAGTCAACCCAGGACAGCCTCCTGCAGTGCTCATGGCCTGCACACCACTCCAGGGGCCTGTGCTGAACCAGCACCTGCTCATCTATTTCAAACAATTCCTGATGTGACCTACCAGTAACATCACAAGGTCATGGCATGATTCCCCATAAATCTACCGAGGGCAGGGACAGGCAGGAGGCACCTTAAGCCACCGAAAGCAGAGCTGTCCCTCTGAGCAGTGCACAACACCTTGCTAGAGATGCTCACCACTGCGCCACCACCTCATCTCTCCTCTTACCTTCTGGTCTTCTTGGCCGTACCCGTGGTCCCTCCGTCCTGCTGCTTGCGCTTCGCTCCCCGTCCCTTCCCACTGCCTCCTGCAGCAATTCCCCCTAAACACGGAAATCGCAGATTATTGCCCAGCTGATGACCAGAGAGAGCCCGTGAGCAGGGAATCTCCACAGACAGAGGGGCAGAAGCAGCCAAATTCCAACCAGCTGATGAGCTCAAGTACCTTCCTGCACAGTCGGATTTGAAACAAGACTGTGGAAAACGAGCACAGCAAAATCCAGAACTTTCACGTAGCTTCTAGTCAACTCTCAAAATGTCTGAATTTAGAGGGGAAACTGAGATTTATCAACAAAATGAGAGAAACTTGAGCTTTTAAGGTGAAAATTAAGAATCTTTTCTGTTATCAAAAGAGCTCCAGACAGCAGGAAAAGCATTATTGTTGGCTTTCATGGAGATTCCAGCCACAGCTCAAATGTGTTTCTGCCCAAGCCGCAGAAAAGCCAACCTACAGCACACACCATCTGATTTTAAGCAAAGTCACTACCCCAGCGACACACTACGCTGGAAAAACACTCTGGCACCAACAAGCACTTAACATTAAATGTCCATCTATAAAATAAAACATACCTAAGTTGAGGAGAACCAAAAAGCAACAGAGGTGTTTCTCTCCAGCGTTACCAAAATCAGTGCTGTGGTGGAACAGTGCACCACTCTGTATTATAGTGGTATTTTATACCACTTTTATAAATAAAACCGTAGTATAGGAGAAGCTACATGTCAAATGTCATTAAACTAGTAAGAGTAAATGTTTTAATAAATTAGCTTGTATAAGCATTTTATCATTCCAGTACTTTGAAAGAGATCGCTGCCGATTTACACGGAAAACTACAAAGTTTTTGTGAACTGTAGATAAACACCTTTACACACCGCGTGCTGTGCCGCCACTAAAAACACAGCCCGTTGTAAACCGTCAGCATTCCCCTCGGTGGGAGGGAGTCAGCCCACGGAAGGAATTCCATATTCTGCACAAACATGACCCGACCTCGGCTGCACTTGTGTTTTGGGGCAGATCAACGTTCAGGCCCTGCAGTTTGTCACCACCCACTTGCCCAAACGGTCTCGGTATCGCCCCGGATCACAGGCTCAGGTCACTTACTCAGGCATTAATATTCGAAACTACAACAGTACCAGATCAAATCACACAAAGCAAAAATAAACACAAGTGAAAACAGCACTTTAAACCAGGCAAGTGGGGCAGAATATGATAATTAAAAGCTTCTAACTGCTAAAGATTAAAAAGTGAAATTGTTGTTTTGCATTAAAGTATCATTGCAATCACATCAGGGCACGCTTTTGATTTTTAATTGACTTTAGCTTCCAAGATAATCGAGCAAAAAAGCTTTGCAAACAATAATACTTAGGTTTTAGAAGCTGAAAGGTAAACATTCACCTCCCACAGAGGCTCCACCTGCAAGAACAGAAGTGGCACCACATATTTGTCAACCTTCCAAAAATTAAAGAAAAAACAACCAGTGCATGAAATGGAGACAAACGCAGCCTTAGACATCGATAACTGTTTTAAAAACCCCAAACACCTCCTGTTAGGTACCACAGAGCCCTGTAACCCTGCACACAAAGAAATCTCATCAGCAGTTGATATCCCTGCATTAATGTCAGCCAGGTACAGCTGTCAGCACAGCTGGCATCTGCAAAAAGGAACAACGGGAAAAGGCACTGATTATAAACGAATAATACACACTTTCCCCAAATACTTTTGAATCTCAGAGTGAAGGAAACAGGAAATCTGAATACTACAAGTAGCTAAATTAAGATGGTTGTGGAAGAAAACTGGAAAAACTGGTTGTGGAAAAAAGTTCAACTTCCTTGCAAGCATCTTGATTTAGCTGGCTGCCACAAAGGAAAAAGTGGAACCTTCAGAATGGAAAATTAATCCCTCTCTGGAGAAGGGCACAGCGACACGGACTGAACACGTGCTGGACACAAGCAGAACCTCAGTGCACACGACAGGTTCAACTGCAGCCTCTCAACTGCCACAACCACGCAGACACCCAGCTGCAGGACTGAGCACCTGGGACTGAGGATTTTCACAAAAACTGCCTGACTGAAGAACTTGCCATTTAAGCTTCCACTTGTGGATACAGCACTGCTCTGTTTCTGGTTATCGTACGCAGGACCAATGTTGGCGAGATCCTGAAAGAGATAAAAACAATCTGATGTACAGACTCGGCCAAACTCACCACTCGGAGCCTGAGCGTGGCACCACCGCACGCCAGCGTACCCCAACACGTCACTTGGCACAACGCAGGCTCACCCTCTGCTCGTTTGACTGAGCAGAAGCCACAAGCAAAACAGAACTCAACTCCCCACGGCACACTTTCCTTCCACCTCTAACTACCTACTTGGTCTAGAAGCCCAAACTTGGGGTAATCTTCCTCTGGGTCTTTACTCCCCGGGTCCGGATGCTCTTTCACCAAGAACACATCTCTTTCTTTACACTAAAACAGAGGAGGAGTTTAAGTTACACAAGGTAAGATCACATCGAGTTCAGTAACACGTGTTTAAATCACAGTATTTATGTTAATACACAGGACGTGTATCCGCTGTGTAAGCAGCACTCCGATCTTCACCATTTAGCTCCAGGTCCAGACCTCAGCAAACACAAACATCAGACAACTGCATCATTCACAGAAAGTCCTCCGTGAATTTAACTCCAAACACTTACCATGGTTTTGACAATATTATTAGGCCAAGTCATTTTCCCAGGTCTCTGTCGCGTTGTCATACACTCCCAGTACTTATCAATAAATGGAATAATATCCTGTAAAAAAATAGGAAATAGAGTCTTAAAAGTGTGGGTCCAAAAGCACTGCTGCCAATATTTGTTTGAACTTGCTCTGCACTGAAATTGGCGCTAACATAAACCCAAGATGATTTTTACACCAGCCATACCTTATCTTTTGAGAACATGGTTTTTGGGTGCTCATCTTGTGTCCTCGACTGCCACGTTAAGTTGGCCAGAGCACTAAGGCACATTTCCTTGAGATCTTGAAAGCAAAAATACACCAGAGCTAGAGTTACACCTGCTGGGGAGCACCAAACACACCCTCACGCCCGCAGCGATTAGCGAGCGCACGGCACCCATGGTACCCTGAACAGGAACACCCTGACACATCCTGCCCCAGCTCAGCAGCCCCCACTAAACAGAACGTTTTCACCACCTTAATAAGCTCGCAGCAAAACGGGAAAACGTTTTTAGAGAAAGTCACCTGTGCTTGTTGCTAACATGGAATTTTTTGGTCATTTTTGAAAAGTTTCAGCGGAACCCTCCCACTGACTTATCTGAAGTGCAGCCTCCGGGATCACCTTGCACGACGTTTCAAGGAACGTGCTTTTACACTTACTTGCTTGTTTTCTTAAGAAGTAGGTGTTCCCGCTGTGATGGCAAACGTTGCAATGGAAGCTGTAGTTGGTCATGAAGGGCAGGCATGATCTGGAAGAGAGCACGCTGATTTCTGAGTTCTGCTGTACACCTTACTGCATCAGCTTAAGGAATTAATTATTCCAGCTTATCAAATTAACTGTTCTCTCCCTCTCCAAAATCAGAAACATCTTACAGGTTCAATGATATTTTTTCATCCAGTTAAGGTTTATCATGGGCATCAAGAAAAGCCACAAAGCTCTTGAGAAAAACGTAAGCAAGGTATGTGTCATCTTGGTTTGGAGAAGGCCTGAAATTCATTCAGCAAACTAACAGACAACAACCCAGGAGCTCTGGACAAGGGGCTCCTTCTGAGTCAATTAATTTTAATTGTAAGTCTACAGCACTTTCTAGGGACAAAATACAACCAAAACAAGTTACGTTTTTAGTAAGTTTAAGATCAGTCCCTCACTGGTTCTAGAAAGCAAGCTGAACTTACTCTTCACTTACAAGAAGATTTTATTTTTTGTTCATACCCATGAAAAATGCCCATGGAGCCCCCTCTGCTCCCCAAGTAGCATTCTCAGGCCTCGGAGGCGCTGAGTCCGAGGGCGGCTCCAACAGTCCTGGGTAAAGATTTTCTTTGGAGTTGAAATGAACAAACACAAACGCTTCCTGCTGCGTTGGGCACAGCTTTTGTTGTTTACACAACACACCAGTTTCCAGGTGTTCAAGGACCTGGACAGGGTCTTGGTCCTTGGGAATTTACACCCTAAACACTTCCATTTTCGCCAACCAGAGTTTCCTGCCCACATTAAGCAGAGCTTACGTACGTGGTATCGATGCCAAACGTGTCTGCTGTGAACCACTTGGTGCAAATGCCACACTGCAGCTCTATCTCTCCCAGCTGCCGGACGTTCTCTTCATCCACTGAGCCCGCCTGAGCATCCAAGGCCTCGGAGTTGTCCCCAGCACCTTCCTACAACCAGAGCACATCAGCAAACTTGCACCGGCCTAAAGACTGCCAGAGTCAGACAGGAGAGAGGTTTTGTGCAGTAGCCTGTCAAGACAGGAGAATTTAGAAGGAATCATCTTTTTTTCCCCCGATACACAGCCATGCTACAAGAGAGGTGGAATTATTTTGCGGATTCCGTTACAGTCAGTCAGGCAAGGATGCTAATTCTGTAAAGAACTACAACTGGAGCCAGCAGGATGGAAAGTCCTTCGTGTCTGAGCCACAGGAACACACTCAGATTTTGGGGTTTGCAAAACTGCCTTCTCGCTTCCTGTGTCATCACCTCACCCCTGACTCAGTGATCTCGGAAAACTGAGGATGGTTGTTAGTCCTGACAGGTCAGGCACCGCCAGACACCTGTTTGTTAAATAGAAACGTTTTATCTTCTGGAAAAAAGTTCTCCACCGGCCCTTTCTCTGCACCACACAGACCCGCGGCTGTTTTGCACCTCTGCATGTCCCCTGCCACCCGTGCAAAGGCACCAGACCGCTACCAAACACGGATCCTTTGGGGAAACAGCTCAGTAACTAAGGAAAAAAAAAACAAAAATCAACAAACAAAGCAAAACACGAACGGGAGAGGGCACGGTGCCAGCGGTCCGGCGAACGGGTATCCCAACGACGAGCCCCACCCG